CCTGCGCCGCTGTCCGCGTCCCGCTACCCTGGGGCCTGTCGGAGCTCCCCGAAGAGGGCTTGAGGTCGGTTCGGCGGCCTGAGGCATCACTTCCCCTCTCATGTCAGATCGGCCTTCTCAGATATCGTGGTCTACATGTGTGTGTGTGCACACAGAACATGTATATATATATATATATATATTCATTTATTGATTTATCTATTTATTTATTTATTTATGGGTCCCCATGTGTGTGTGTTGCATATGTATAGAGTAAATACTACATAGTAAATATACGTTACCCCCTGCCTGCCGCCCCCAGAGAACGCAAGTTTTGGCCCTTCTGCAAGATGACAAAAGCTCTTGTTTCACAAAGGAACTGAGAGTTGCATGCTGTGCCAAAGAGCAAGAACTCACCAGGACACTGTAAACAATTCCTGCACTCGCCTTCTTGGGGTCTGCAATTCTCGTAGCCCTGACAGGTACCTAAAAAAAGCGGAAACGCGATCTTCCAGCAAAACAAATTCACGTCGGTTGAGTTGAAAGGTCATTGACCCCAAAAGAAGTGGAGGCCTCTGGGCAGAGGGATTCTGAAAGTATTCTCCTGGTTTCTCCCCTGAAAGGAGAAGAACAGGGCGGACCCTGGACCTGGATTTTCCTCTGGAGCCATCTCCTGGCTTCCTACCTGGCTGAGCATAGCCATGTTCGAACATCCCTCGAAAGGAGTCCTCTGCAACCGCGTGGACTTCTCCACCCCGCTTGAAAGCGCAAGCCTCAACGTGACCTTCATTAGTTATTGCAGTAAAGGGAAATTCCTCCCCCCCCCCCCCAAACGCACCCTCTCCCAACGCGATTTTGAGACCACTTCGAAACGCAATTCCAGGGATCCAGCACCCACCCCGGTCGCCGGTCGACGCTTCCGCCGGTCCAAGGCGCGCCGTGCGCGCGAAGTTGGCGCTGAGGAAGCCGTCGGCGTCGATGGTGGCCTCGGAGACCCGAGGCGATCCAGCGTGACTCTCCGCAGGTAGCTTTCCCCTTTTGTGTAGAGAGCGGGCCGCCATGGGGCCATGGGGCCATGGGGCCCTGTGCTTTTTGCTGAAAACATGTTGATTGTACAAACAGAAGGGCCCCATGACGGGCCCTTCTGTTTAGGTAACCATGATCCTTGGAATCGATCAGCCTTGCGGCACATTCAACTACGATTCTTTGTGCATCGGTATTTGTCCAACTGCAACATATGGGACTGAACGTGCCTTTCTGTTTGCGGTGAAAGCCCTTGAAGATCCAGGGATGCCCGGCGGCACGCGCGTTCCCAGTTCTCGCTTGCCCTTTTTGGAGGGAAAGGCCTAATCAGGTACCAAACCAGGCTATCATTGTGGGTACCCAAATGGATCTTCCAACTTTAGTTTTCACATGGTGCTTGCCTTGATCTATAATGGTATGTGGAAGCACATACAAGTTCGGTCACACTCTGGGACTTTGTTTTTTCGGTTGCGAAAATCCGAGTGGCGCAAAAAAAGAAAAAGGCGACCCCAGAAATGGGTGATTCTCCTAGCTCCGAAAGCTGCAGTTGGACACTGGGGAGCCCAGTGTCATTAAGCAAAGCTGACAGCTGGGTATTGGAAGACTAAGGCATCCCAACGTGTAACTTGTTGTTCATGCAACCACCTCGACTAGCAATGGTCACTGGGAAAGCACTTGGAAGGACTGAAGCGGAAGCGCCAGTCCCTGAAACAAAGCCCCGCCAACGAATCAGTGGGGCGAAGTCAAGGGATCAAGCATTCTAAGCGGTTATTCATATTCCCCACTTGCTTCACCAATTCTCTCCAGAAACCACCAATCTTCCCAGGAGTTTGGCCCAGGATGCCTGAAGAGACTGTGAAAAGCACAGCCAGAAAATGGTTCAAACCACTTTTGCTTTCAAGCTTCTGCCAGTGAGATGAATAACTTGAAAAGCTTAAAGGTGATTTCGGTATCAGAGATCAACCCATACTTTGTGGGTGTGTCGCTTGTCTCAGCATAGGGAAACCCCAACAAAAGCGGAGCGGTCCTATTGGATTCCCATTAACAACATCCGAGGGTATACCCTCTCAAAGAATCAAACGCATAAAGGCCGCCCCGGGGCAGCATTGCCGACAATGTGGAGGCCGTAGAGATGGTGGTTGTCCCGCAAGCCATCTGCAATCGCCTGACGCGCAGAAATAGGTTTCTTATGGAACCCTCGAACTCGGAGGTTTTCCTTGGCTCTTTCTTTAAAACCAGCCCCGAGTTCCAGTGTTCCAGTGCTCCGGTGTCCCAGTGTTCCAATGCCCCAGTGTTCCAATGTTCCAGTGGTCCAGTGTTCCAGTGTTGCAGTTCCAGTGTTCCAGTGTTCCACAATGTTTCAGGGTTCCAGTGTTCCAGTGCTGGGCCCCTCCAAATAAGACCCGCCATGGGCACACAGTTAGGGCACGAACCACCAAACCTGCTGCACAGGGACATCAAACGGAGATTGTTGAAGTACTGTTGGTCAAATCATGCTTGAATGTGGGTTGGCCACACTCTGCCCACTAGCGCTTGTCAAAACCAGGTAGCCCGTCAAAATGGGCCTTCACATCTGCCCCCTGGCTTGAAACCACCCGAGCCGGGTGTTGTCGGCTTGAATCCCTGACATTCATAATTCATCCCGACGAAGGCCTCCTTGATAAGGCTGGTCCGGGTCCGCTTTTGGGAAAACAGGGGTTAAAGGGAGGGGCTGGAATCCCAAAGAAAGTATGCGAAGAACAGCCGGCCTCCTGCAAAGCATGCGCATCGGCTTCCAAGAACTACTGGCCGTCAAACTAGCAACATGCTACGAGCTGAAAGGAAGTGAGCATCAAACAAACAAACACGGCAAACACACGACCCAAACAAGACACGGTAAAATCCAGAACGGCACTCTCAAGAACAACAGTCCCAAATACAGAACATGTGTGCCCAACCATTCCAGAAAGGTAGTCCAGAAAGGACGAAGTCCCCAAAGATGTGACGACTTGCTCGACATAAAATCCAAGGCATGCAAAGCACACTGTTTTGGTGATCCCTTTCTTGTTAGGCTCCCTGAAAAAAAAAGGGACATGGGGAACCCTAAAAACTCGGCACACATCCGTGCACAGCAAACAGTAGTTTCTTATTTTGTTTCATTGGTCGACCCAGGAGAAAGACCTCCTATGGGTCCAAAGGGAAGCACCGCCAATCGTTGCTATGGCTATTCGTGAGGTTTTTGGTGCCGGGAGAGAATCGGGGCAAAGAAGGGCCGAACGCCCAGGACGCTGCCCTGACGCGGTCCTGCCACTCCCTTTCTCTTTCTGTGTGTTCGAGGCTTTCGGACGTCCTAATCATTGGAGGTACGCCCTAGTACACTAGATTTGGGCCTTCCCCTTGTTCCCCTTGCAATGATTGGAAGCTTCCTAAATTAAACATGGTGGACCCCCTTTTTGGTTGTTCAAGGGAAGTATTGAGAACCCCCCGCCCATGTAGGGCACCGTTGCCCCGGCCTGGCAGCTCGAGGGGCCCAAGTTGTTGTAGCTCAGGTCCAAATGGTAGAGACCCACCTCGCGCCATGCCAGTTGCCACTTGGTACTTCCCCCTTACCACCCTTACCACGCACCAGGAAAACTACACTTAAAATCCCCCCCCCATTTTTGAGGCCTACGGCCACTAGGCCCGGCCCCATCCATCGGAAAAACCGGGGGAGGGGGGGAGGGGGACTCGTCTGGGGTCCCTGAGGCCCCTGAGGCCCCTACGGAGCTGCGCAGCGCCGCGCCCAGGGCACAAGCGGAGCTGGGGCCCAGGTGGTTCCAGGCCACGTCCAGGTCGGACAGCTGGCCGCAGCCTGCAGACGGATGTTTGAAGTTTTCCCATGGATTTCCCCATGGAGTTCTTTGGTTCCCATCTTTGGCTCTTTGGTTCCCATGGATCTTTGGTTCCGTGGTTCTGCGTCTCGGCCTGAAAAATTCGGACCCCGCATCTGCAACGACCACGGAAAGGGGCTAATCGTGGTGGTGGGAAATCTGTGATACTTGTAGCGCGAAAGAGAACGGATTTGCCGGTTTGGAAGGATTTAGCAGGGATTTGGCAGGGTCTCCACTCCACCCCAGTTCCCGAAATACCTTCAAACCATCACCCCCACCCCAGAATTGTGGATGCTTGAAAACATCCAGGGTCAAGCTTGCTTGCTTGTGGCCCGCCCGTACCATGACCTTAGATTCCGTTTGTTCAAGGTGCCAACAAACAAGCATATGTTCAGCAGTGTCCTTGTCCATCCAGCATCAACTGGGCGTGAGCTTCAGTTGGGGACCCTCGGACATCAACATTCGCTGGGACTTGCTGTCCACCGTCACTCTTGAGGTGCTCTTTAAAAATTCATAGCCGTGGTGTTGTTCTTCTCAACACAGGGTACTGTAACTTTCAAATTGCTGGTGTCCCACTCATTTCCCTTTAAGCTAACCCAAAAGAAGCCACCTTCAAAAATAATAATAATTGGAACCAACATGCAAATTGAGGTGGGAGGGTTTTGGAGGTTGCTTTCTGATGCACGTGTTTCGTCTTGTGTTGATGTTTGCGCGGTTCACTGTTTCTAAAATGTGCAGCTGTTAGCTCAGCCAATCTGAATCTGCAGGTTCCGATGTGTTCATGCACCTCGAATCAACAAAATATATACATGCATGTATGTGTATACATATGTATATGTACGTTATCTCTATAGCGACTTGACTGTCTACAATGATCTATTACATATTGATTGTACTTGTATCTTTCTGCATATCTATGTCCAAAAATCGAACTTGAACTTCAATCTACATGAGACTTCGATCGCATATTCTAAGAACACCATGGTGTTGCTATGCGTCATGGACTTTGATGCCAACTTATCTCTTTTCGGCATGGCTGCGGCATGACACCCCCCCCCCCCCCCCCCGCTTGATCACAAGCGCCTCGGCAGGCACGTAAATTGTGGATTTGCTCATCAAACTGAACTAGGTCCTCCAGTAGAGAGGTTAGACTAAGGGTACCCGTTTTTCTGTGGTCTATTTTGGTAGGGGAACCCTCCCCCCTCAAAAAGGGTAAAAGGGCACTACTGCGAGGACCTAGTGAAGCTAAAAAAAGAGACGCTCTCGTTGCTCGCCGCGGCGCGGGCGTTGGCCAGGAGGCCCTCGAACAAGGCGGCGCCGCTCAGGGCGTTGCCTGATGTACGCGCGTGCGCCCGGCTTGGACAAGGACCGAACTTGTGGCTCAAGCAAACCGTTCAGCAAACACAATCTCAGATGCCCAGTGGCCATGGGAAAAAGAAACGGGCACCTTTTTTGTTGGGTTGAGTTTAAAGGGGAATCCTGACAAAAAAGAAAGGGGAAAAAGGGCACCACTGGGAAAGAAAGCAATGACTTTGCAGGGAAAGTGGGCCAATCAGTTGACACAGACAAGACATGAACAAAAGCGGCCTGAACAGAAGCCCTGCCCAAAGCAAACAAAACAGGTGACAGTGAAAGGAGCTCGAGAAGCGGCCCCGAGGTGCTGTTTTCACACCCAGCGACCCAAAGCAGCATTGTTTCAACAAAACACGACATAACCCCCAAACAAAAGGAGTCCCCCCCAACCCCAAAACAATCAACCCGCCAAACAACACAAAAGATACGCTATTGAACATGTCAACCCCCAAACCAAAAGAGAAGCTCCATCACCCCCGCTCAAACCAAAAACCACGTCAACCCAACAAAAAACAAGACACGTCACCCTACTCAAGCCAACAAATTCTTCACCAACAAACATGGCAACCATTCCCCCCCAACCCCCGCAGCCAAAACAAAGGACCCTGGACCCCCTCCTCCCCCCCCTCCTCCCCCCCCTCAACCCCCCCCCCACCCCCAACCAAACCTCCCCTTTCCCAAGAACGTGGTCCGCCCCATCAAAACGTCTCCCAACGCTGGGTTTCGCCGGGCGGCTGTGCAGAGACAGCCTGGCCAGGCGGTTGTGGGTGCCCAGCAGCTCGCCCAGGGCCCCACCTGCGAGCGGCGAGCGGGTGGGCGGAGGGGCTGTTGGTTGGGAACCCCAGCATTCGCAACACAGCCCATGACATGTGTTTTTTGTTGGACACTGGAAATGTGTGCGTTGTTGTTGGAAACTGGGAATGCGTGCGAAAACAAGCCTTGAGAGTTTTCCAAACAAATGGTTTCCTGAACATGTCCCGTGCATTCCCAAGAATCGTGTCCTGAAAATATCCCGCGGACATGATTGCTGTCCTGAAAAAGCAGTGGTTCCAAGGTTTTGCTTGCCGAGATAGAAAGTGAGATGGTTCTCGAAAGTCTGGCCCGCCCAGACAAATACAGTAAGGGCTTTTCACGTGCTGATCAGCTGTTACATCTGTTGGCCGGACATGAACTCCCTCTGGCCCGGCACTTTCATCATTGAATCGCCGTTTGTGGGGTTACCTTGCAACAGTACCTCAAACTTTAAATTGACAACGCTCAGCACTCAAAATTGGTGGACCCTTTGCACTCGGCGTGCTCATGTGAACCCTCAATTCATATCCCAAGGGCTCCAAGGCTACAGCCAAATACTGGTTTTTGAAGCGTCCGTCAGTCAGCTTTCGCTTGGAGATCCTGACAGGATGGCTGTGTGAGCAGAAGCTAGTGGGGATGTGGATGAGCCGGTTGTAAGCTCCGTCCTACAATGTCCTCTTTGGATCAATCTGGATCACCGTACAAATCAGAGAAGCCCGGCAAAAGCGATGGCTCTCCCCAAGAAACACATGAGCTCAGTATTCCCAGGTGGATAATTTTCAATTTACTTCCAGCACGAAGCCTGCCAATCAGATTGCGGTACACCCATCTCGCGCCTTCCTCGATGCAGTTGTGGTTCAGCTCCTAAGGGCAGCAAACAGCCTGGGGCCTGCCTCTTTCGAGCAACATGAGGCACGCTATCGCTTTTTGCCCGTTCTGGATTCTGAGAAATCCTGGCCCTGGGAGTGATGTGAACTTCTCACCCTATGGCAGTACGAACCAGGGGCCTTTTCCCAGCCCTCTTGGCCTGATGGCTTCTGCCAATCGAGTCCCAAATCCCCGGGACCTGGTTTGGGAGCTCAATGACCCCAGATACCAAGATTCGGGAAGGGCTCCAAGAGTGAAAATCAGGCTCCGGGGAAATATATGAAGCCAGCAGAATGCTTTGCACCGTAAATATTGGTCTAAACCACCCTTCTGGCTGGGTAGCAGTTAAAGGAAAGCAAACAGGAAACGCATGACTGATTGCTCGACAAATAAAACATACCCGTCTCATTTGTGTTTCCTTTTAACAGGAATCAAACAACACATTATGGTCTGTTCAGCACCACACAAGGCAATGAAGATTGACACCAGTCAATGTCTAGTCCTAAGAACAAAGCACCCCCTTGCTGGGTGCCAATAAAGGGAAACCAAGAGGAAACGGCAAGAACCCACTGACTCCTTTACCGCCGCAGCATTTCAAAACCAAGGTACCTTCCCAATGGCGAACGCGCCTGGGAACCAACAAAGGTGGTCACAAAGAAGACCAAAGCGAATCCCCCATTATGGACCTCAATGGCTAAGCCACCTTGCCGCTCCCCAAAGCCCCCAGTGAGGTCCCTCACCTTGCGTTCGCTGGCCATTGAAGTTTTCTGGAAAAAGGAAAACCAAACTTAGAGATTTCCAGTACTCAGTTGTTGAGTGACCCTGGAAAAAAAGGGAACCCTTTTTGGGGAAGACCATTTTTAGTGGGGCGTCCACCAAAAAAAAAGGGGGAAAAAGGGTGTCACTGAACTGAGAGTAGCGATAGATCTCCTTCCAAAAAGCGACACGGACACTCGGGGAAGCGACACTGAGAATCAGCTCCCAAATTGTTTCGGTTCTTCGTTACCTCCATTCTCTTATGTCCCCTGGGCAAAGGAAAAACAAACACATATTCCAGTAGACCTCCTTCAAAAAACGACACGGAGGGAAGCTCACAAGTCTCGCCCGAGGTGCAAGGCGCACCAGGTGCGGGCAGCTCAGCAGCCCATCCGTCAGCGGCCACAAGGCGCCATCCCGCAAGCCGTTCATCGACAAATCCAGCCACCGGAGCTGCGGCAGCAGCCTGCGCTGTTGGTCCCCGAAACAAACTTGGGTCGGACCATATGGGGGTCACGCGTCAGAGTGAACTCAAACAAAAATTGGACGCAACGCATCTAAAAACCCAATAGCCCAACACCCGAGCAAATCCCCAATCGCAAGAAATTCGTTCGCCGAGGCGAATGAATCCAACCCGAATCTCGGGGGTGCTTTTGCTCCCCGAAGCCTCAGACCCCAGCCTCTGGCGCAAGCAGCTGGCCAAGGAGTGCACGCCCTTGGCGCCCATCTCATTGCGCGCCAGGTCCAACATCTCCTGTGTGCTGCAGGGAACAACAGGTTGGATGTACGGCAAAACAGGATTTATGTGTATATATATATATACATGTAGGTCCCTGGGGGGGGGGGGGTACCATATCTATCTATCTATCTATCTATATATATATGTATTGATATGCCATCCATTACACGGAATTTGTTTCCGGGTCTTGTGTTACATACATCCTTCACAGAAACGGACCAAGTTTGCACACGAGGATGCACCATTTTCTTTTCCTGGGTACCGCTGGGCTCAAAAAGTAGTCCAGTGGGTGCCAACATATCACTGGTGTATCTCGTATCTACAACTGTGTACATGTATTTGTGCATACGTTTATGTAGTGCCTGTGTATGTATACTTTTGGATGCAGCATATTCACTGCGTGTGTATGTATACATATATATATATATATACATATATGTATTGTATAGTATGTGCACTTCGGGGTAAGAACTCGAGTTTTCATTTTGGAAAATATGGCTCTTCGTAGGATGGGTATTTGTTAGAACAGGTACTGTTTAGCTCCCATGGGAACACCAAAATGGTTTCCCTTTGAACCAACCTGGAAAGGGTACTCTCCAAAAACACCCAAACCCATATTAAGTTGATGGAACTGGGATAAACACTAAAAGTTTTTTTGAACATCTGGATTGGTCCACTCGACTAGCGATTTTCAGTGATGCCCTTAGACTTGACTTTTAGGATTTAGAGAGATTATAACGTTTCCCCCTAGGGATGAGCGACGTCGAGGTGTCGCTTTTGGCTTTTGGCAGGGGAAGCCTTGCGGGACATATCCCAGTGCCTTTTTGAGAATACACGGGAGTTGCGCCATGCAAGTCGGGCAATCCAACATTTCAACTGAGCACTAAATCAATTGCTGGAAAACGAAGAATTCAGTGTTGGCTTGTTTGTGTTGAAACATGCAGCAGCGCTTTGTATTCAGCCAAAGTTTGTGTATCAAAGAGGCTCGCATTGAGTGAACCCACTCACCAGACAAGCGTTTAGACTGGGCGGGGTGGCGGGTTCTACATGGGTTCGCGCTTTCAGACGTTGATCTAGAAAACATGGCTTCATGGTGGTTTCCCGGTGGTTTGATCCCAGCATCAAAACTCGGGAGGGGGGGGGTGCTTCTTTTGCCCGAAGAGCGCTGCATCAAAGCTGGCGGAAACAACCTGGACATTGCGGCCAGGTACTCGAGAAGTCCAAGTGCGTCACGGGGAACCTTTAGGTTTCCGTCAGGGGAAGTTAAAATAATCATGGGCTATTTAGCCTCCCACCAACTAACATGGAAGTACATAAAGGCCCTTTCCAAGAGGACACTAGTCTTTCTACAGGGGTCTGTGCACTTCCATCTTCGCTGGTGGGCGATTTAGCAGATGACAATGATCACCCCAAACTTCTTCGTCCATCACCTCGCGGCCAGTTTTTACCTCACAACCGCAACCGCCGGGTCTCCGTCTGCGGCGCCAGCTTGGCAGAGAGCGCCTGCCGTGCAGCCAAACTCAGCTGGGGGGTTTGGGGGGCCGCAGCCCCCCCCCCATGATGTTCGAAAATAGTGATGATTCAATGAGGTGTGCATTCTATTCTCTGCCAAAAACACACTGAAAAAACACTGCAAATCGAGAGCTTCCTATATCCTCAGCATCATCAGTTCCTCTCCGGCAAGGTACGTAGGCATTTATGTATGGCATGTTAAAAAGCAGCAGGGGGGTCCCCCTCATGATGGAAAAAGTGAGGATTCAAATACGGGTGCATTTTTTCCTTGTAAAACACCCAAAAAGTAGCGAGGGGGTTGGGGGGCGGCAGCCCCACCCCATGATGTTCGAAAAAGTGCTGATTCAACTCGGGGTGCATTGTAATCTCTGCCAAAAGTCCAAAAAGTAGCGGGGGGGTTGGGGGTTTGGGGCCATCTCTGCCTGCGACCTGCTTCATATGGCCATGTCAAAAGCCAAATCGCACCCCCATTGAACATCCCAATCCAATCACTAAAATAGGTTCTAGAGTGGGTGGTGAATTCACCTACCCCAAAATGGGATCCGATTGGTTTTGACCCACAGCCGTATTTTTTGCAGGGTTTGCCCAATTTCAGAAGCTACCAGCCGGTTCCAAATAGAGATCAGGGGTACCAGCCAATGGTTTATCAGGTGACTGGGTTGGTCTTTGACCCCCAAAATGCTAAACTTCTTGCTAGTAGGGAAATAGCCAGACTCTAGAAATGTCAGAAGGTTCAAGTTCGAACCAAAGAGCAACTTGAAGGGGGTCACTGTGAGGCTCAACGAGTCAAAACTTCAGATGCCCTGGCCAACCTCAGTTTACCACCAAGCTGAGTGAGATGCAGTAATACATTAAGCTGAAGTACAATCACATTAAATATCATCATTGATCATATCAGAATATCATAAATCGTAGTGATGATGATGATGATGATGATGATGATGATGATGATGATGATGATGATGATGATGATGATGATGATGATGATGATGATGATGATGATGATGATGATGATGATGGTAATGATGATAATGATGATGATGGTAATGATGGTAATGATGATGACGGTGATGCCATCTTACACCAACAGGATATCCGAGAGGGGATCCTACTTGGGTGATTTAGTCACAAACAGAATCCGGTTGTGTGGATTGCGGTTCAATCGCCCAGAACAAACAGCTTCTTTTCAAAACCACAAAGGGAAGGCACTTTGATGTAAAGGGAACCCAAACGACCACAATCAAACTTAAACCAAGGGATCCGCAAGTAGAGGACCTTCATCCTGATTGTTCGCTCATTTAACTGAAATTGCTACCGGCAATGGTGGAAGTTTCGAAACACCTCCCAATCAGGCAGCCCTCACTTTGTGGTTTGGATTCATAGTTGAAGATAAAATTTGGACCCCTGGCTCTAGAGGGTAGACGGGAGCCCTTCCTGGCCACCAATCCAAGCCACCAAGGAAGCTGAGAAACATGCGCCCTTGGGAGCAAGCCCAAGGCCCTCCTGGCCCATATAATTATCGTGGAAACAAGCACAAAAGTTCTACGTCGGATCTTACTCCCGGACAAATTGACATGGAACCCCAAACACCCAACAACGCTCAGAGGAATCTCGTTTTGGCAAAAACCAGCCTTTTTTGGGTTTGTACACCCCACCCAAAACCCCCTCCATGTTCAATTGTGGAGAAAACATGATAAATTTTGTATCACCACCCCACCCCCACAACAATTTGTAAAAAAAACGCCTGGAATGAGGTGTGTTGCTCTCAAAACCCCACCCCACAACTTCCCAAAACCTCCTAAGGTTTCGGCCACTCGCCTCCACCCCGGCGCCGCTGAGCCGTGCATCCCGCAGGCGCCAGCGCCGCACCAGAGGCGCCGGTAGCAGCTGGCGGTCGCAGAGCCTGGGATCGAAATCCGGAATCGGTCCGGGGGCGAAAGGCCTCTCCACTAACATGGAACCCAGAAGTACACATCATATACAAGACTATATATATATACATATGGTCACCCCCCGGCGGCGCCTACCTTCCTCTATTAGAAGATTCCAAGGGACAAGTTGGATTGTACCAAAAGGAATCAAGTTGTTGGCCTCGAGTACGGTGGCTTGTATGCACAAGAAAGGCAAGGTCAAGTGACGGCTATGGAGAACGAAATGAACCTGATCCTATCCCTCTCACAAGATAAGAATGTTGTAACAGTCAAACACCCGCCGGGACCTTTTAAGGGATTCAATTCGACCCGGGGAGCTCGCTGTTTCTTGAGCCAAAGATGCAAGGTTGCAGTTCTTGGGAGGTGTCCTCTTATAGGACCCCTACGTCTTGCCGATTCCCTTAAGTGTCAAATGCAACGTCATGATGCTATACCCACAATAAGTTGTTGCCACCACTGCAAGTGTGCACTTATTGCAAAGGAGTGCGGGTATTTCCACTTTGTTCTAGTTGAAGGTGTCAGCTCTACTCTGCGATATGTATACATATATATATATATATGTATGTAGAAAACATATATATATATATATATTAGATTATTAATATGCTAACCCACCAGAAAAATTGTCCCTTTCAAAGGAAAATAGACTTTCACCCTCAGCGGGACGGTGGGGTTCCTAAAACGGGATTCTTGAAATAGGAGTCGAAGCCTTTTCCCCTTCTCGCCTCTGTCATGAGGGGTTTCTCAAAGGAATCGATGACCTAAAATGGCAAGGGTGTCCTTTTGGTTTCCCTTTGAATAAAAGCTGAAAAGGGGTCAAAGCACCATTTTTGACAAACCCCCAAATGAGTTCAGCTGCCCTCTTGGTGGTGTGGATTGGTCGGAGATTGGGTGTGGTTCTCATGTGCCCTGCGTCCAAACCAGACATCCAAACCACCAATGGAGGGCAACCTGATGGGTGGTTCCCCTGTCACGAACTGAACGTAATGAAACCCAAATGCACTGCACCCTCAAAATGGGTGGTTTTCCCTTTAAGATAAATCAGGTTTCAAAACGTGCTGGTTCTCGGCAGGGAACTTCCATAGGTTTGGGAATGAACCTAGGCCCCCGAAAGGGACATATCGATGAATAGGGGTCGTTCCCTCGTTCCAGACTGAGAACCAGCAGGAAAAATGAGATGCCCTCAAAATCCGGTGGCTTCCCTAGCTGAATTGGAAAGGTCGCAGACAATTGGACGCAAAATACACTGAGTGGACGTGCCTTTCCAACGGGTGGTGTCCAATAAATATGGAAAAGACAAATCCCCAAGGTTGTCCTCAAGGTGCATGGAGTGTTTCAAACTCCCAATGTGCCACTTGGGTAACTCTATTCCCCCTGGCATCATTTCAAAGGTGTCTCCAAAAAGGGAACCCTAAAAGGCGCATGTCTTAGTTTGACTTGGTTTAACAAAACATCTCTCGGTTGCGAAATCTGCTCCCCTGCTAAAAGTTTAACTGTTAGATACTTTTAGATACATTTAATCCGGAAGACCCAAATTAGTTGGCCAACCGTTTTCCAGTCCTACCCTCCCTCCAACAATCATGGAAGCCAGGAGGGTGTTGAAAGACTGTTTTCCTGCGGAAGCCCCCTGTCCACTTCGATGGTTGGAGGGAGGGTAACCTCCCTCAGACTGCCCCACAGATCTGGCGGGGGCCGAGCCCCGGCCCAAAGCCCTGCCGCGTGGCATGGCGCGCAGCTGGAGGTCGCCGAAGCCCAGGCCGCTGAGGTCCAAGGTGTCCCGACCCCTGCGCTCCTCGAAGGCGGGGGGCGGGGCCGGGGGGGGGGGGGGGGGGACCGGGGAGAAAAACGAGTGGACAGAGCCTTTGAACCAAGCTGAAAAGCAAATGCAACCAGGGAGGGTGAGGGTGGGGGGACTGTGAGAAAATCTGATGGAAAGAAAGGGGGCGAAGCTCAACCCCAATAAAGGATTTGGGCCGTTGACCCTTAAGCTGAAAAGCATCCAAGATACAACATACGCAAAGCACCCCTGCTCAGAAGGCCAGTAGCCATTAGAAAAACAAAGGGCAACCTTGAGTTGATTTCAAAGGGAACTCAAAAAAAGAGTAAGCAACCGACTGGTCTGGGCCTGCCGATCTCGGCTTGGCCCCTTTAAGTGGGTTGCGTTTCAGACAGACGTCTCGAACTTCTGACCTCTGACCGAGGGAGAGTCTTCCCCATGGACCCTCTAAGGGTTGATTCCCCATTCTTTCCAACCATCGTTCTTTTCGAAAACCGGATCCGTTTCCCTGAGTTTTCCGGATTTCTAGAAAGATTCGGATCCCTGGGTTCAGACTTCGGAAATGGAAAAGGTAGCACTAGAGACCCCCGCGTACCCCGTGACCCGCGTGACCCACTCCTGCACCGCCCGGGCGAACTTCGGCAGCAGCCCACTCTTGGCACAGGCCTCCTCGTAGTCCGAGCGCCGGCCGTGGGGGCCTGCCACCCGTCAAAAGCCGTTTGTGCCAACGTCCATGTAGAAACCCCGGGTGACAGACTGAACCCCTAGTTTTATGGGTAAACTCACCGTTTGCTACGCCAGAAGGCTGGGAAACCAGCCCTTGAAAGGGTCCAACATGGCCATGGGGTTGTATATGGACCCGTGCAACCAGCCGCGTGAGGAAAGATTCATTCTAGGCGCGCAGCCCCGTCTGGGAAACTAGAAGAACCCTACCCCCCCCCCCCCTTCCTAATACAAAAACTACAACACCGAAACAAAACAAAACAACCATCTTCATCCCGCGAATTCGAAACTGGTGGGTCTATGTATTCTCATTTGTTGAGGTCTTTTGGGATACCTAATGATAGGGGCGACTTTAAACATTTGCGATATTCCATCCAAATCTTTGGAATAGTCGGAGATTCAAGGTTTATGATTTCTGGAATGCTGCAGCAAACACATGGTTGTTCTATTTTTATATGTGTGCAGCTTATTCTAATTAGATCGAACAACTAGAGTATCGGAATCACTGACTGGTCTGCAAGACACATGCAAACCCGCAAAGAGTCACTCCAATAGATCGAATTACATTCTCCAGTTTCGGATAAGCATTCTAATTCTTGGGAGGTTCTCATGATGCAAACTTGGAGGAGATTACGCACGTGCAACAAGTTTGGCCTCTGGAACAAGTCCACACCGCCTCTCGGGACTCGCGGCCAAATGGCGCAAAAGCAAGGACCGAACGCAGGTTGCAGCTTCGAGTCCTGAGGGGCCACCAGGAAGTTTTCGGCGTTCTGTTTGGGGAACTCAGCCCGCTGCGGGCTTCCCTCTTGATCAACTTGGATTCATAAGCCAAAAGAGTACTTGAGTACTTGTCCTTGGTTGCTTCATGGTGTCTCAGATTCAAACTTGCATTCGGCAACAGAGATCGAAAGCACCGTGTGTCCTTGGCCTTTCCCACAGCGGTGTCATGTGTCCTCTTGCATGGAGGTCCAAGTAAACTGTTCAATTTGAACTCATCCAACAGTATTGCTACATTTGCGAAACAGCAGCTTTTTTTCCAATGCAAAGTCGTTAATGTAGGATTCCAGGCTGGATGGGCGCCACATTCACTGAGTTCCGGGGATACATCAGGTCCATTTGATGATCAGAAATAGGCACTTTCGGGCAGTGTACACACACACACACACAACCTGCACTCCAAAACCTGAACCAAGGCATCCCTAAGCACAGGATGTACGTCATATTGGCCTCATAGTGGCCTCGTTTTGCCGCAATGCCTCCTCAGTGCGCTCGTTTCCCCGTGACATCGGCGCCATGTTCATCCATCGATGCCTGGCTCATTGCTGGGGCTGATGGGCCGCTCAAAGAGGCCTTGGCCTTGGCACACGATTCCGCGGATTCCGTGGATTCCGCGGAGGGAAGGTTCCGGAGCCATGGGGAAAGAAAAGGAGCGCCTGTATCCGTCTCAGATGCCCAGTGGCCATGGCACAAAAGGGCATCCTTGCTTGGCTGCTTGACATGTGAAAGGGGAACCCTTCGCAAAAAAAAGGCAAAAAGGGCACTGAGCAACAGGGCCTCGGGAATCTCCCGCTTTCCTTGAGACTGCTGTCCTTCACTGGCCTTAGACTTAGCACCGACAGCGCCAAATATTTCACCTACCCTCCCTCCCGCTAACCCAAGGCACTTGTGCTAAGATAGCTGGAAGACCAATATCCTCTTCAAGGAATCCCCTGTCAGGTGCCGTGTTAATGGTGGGCTTTGTTTGGTTCTGAACTAAACTACTAAGGTTAAACACAAAGCCACAATTACAAAAACCAAACATAAAAACCATATAAAACAACCCCTATTCTTTTTAACTGCCAACAAAAAAAACACTCAAAACAAACACAACTCCTTCAAAAAAGCGAATCCGAAACAAAACAGTCTTACATATTCCACCACACTTAAGTATACGTCACAATGCGAAACCTTTATATCAATAAAATCTATCTCCACATTCCATAAATCTAAAATGCGAACTCGGAGGATTCTTCAGGGAAATTGGGCAGAGCTTGGGCTTCCGCTAAAGGGGGGGATAATTTGTGGTGTTCTCTCATAGCAATCCAGTCAATTCCAGTCACACCGTTTCGCTTGGCTCCGGAAACAACCTGGTGAGCTCGCTGAATGTCAGACTCCAGAGCTGCCGAAAACGTGGGCTTTCAAGGCGGTTCTTCAAGGCCCTCTCTCATGTCTAGATCCAGGTCTTTTGCAAGAGGTGGCAAGTGTCACGTGACCGTTTCCACGACATGTCTTCAACTCGCACAGAACACACACGCACACACGAGTGCTTCTTCAATTGGTGGACCACCTTTTGGTTGGCTTTTAAAGGGACACCAAAAGGAACCAACAATGCTATGAGACAGGCATTATGAGAAACCTCCACACACACACACTCACACGGTCAAAATAAGCGCGCGTATCATAAGGGACTTGGGAAAATGAGCGTGTTGCCTGGCTGCAGGACATTTCGTTTCCTCAATGGACCACACGCTGGATATTTTTCGACAGGCCCGTCAGAACCCGGCTGAGCGGATTTTGCGGGGGTTTTGATCCAAACCTGCGCAGTCCCCGGCCACTTACTCGGTTCTTTTCACCGTCAGTGTGCAGCCAGCCTCGTTTCAGAACACGCTACCGCTACTGTGTCAACAGCCTGTTGCTTGCAACCGGCAACCAGGGCCTACGGGATGTTGAACATTCTCATATAGTGCGGTTTAAACAAGTTTCCCACTCCCCCCAAGTAGGAATTTCCCACTTCCTTGACAAAACTGCTTTCCCACTGGATGTGGGACCCAAGTAGGAATTTCCCACTTCCTTGACAAAACTGCTTTCCCACTCGGTCCCTGGATGTGGGACTGGAACTGCGAAGCCCCAACCCGACGCGTGAGGACGATCTTGGGGCTCCCACTCGCTTCAACCCGGCGGTGCAGCGCCGGCGCGGAGGCACGATGGAAGGCCTGGGGCGGGGGGGGGTCCGGCCTCCGGTTGGAATGGTAGGGCGGTTGGTTGGGTTTCACCATGGGAAATCCTACCACAAGGGCTCCGTCCCCTATGTGATTACTTGTTGCAAGAGGACATTGGAAATTTAGGGAGCCTGGGTTCTGTGGGGCAAATTTGAGCTCGGCTTCCGTATGTTTGCCAATTGAGGCGACTGGAAATGCTGGCCTCTGGGTTTGTCTTCTTGGGGAACCGCCATGGGATTCCTGCAGGTTTCCCTTCACCAGGGATTGCTCCCAGCCGCTGCGACGTGAACTCTCTCCAACTTTGTAGCTTAAGGACTCCCCAGGTGTCCGTAGACACCAAAACTACTCCTACTGCAAATTGGCCCGAAATGGTGACGTTTGAAACCGCCCAACAAGGAGATATAGAGAACTCTGTTGAATGTGATCGGTTGAGGGAATCCACCGGTCAAACGGGAACCTCCATCTTATTGATTTGTCTTGCACCAAGTTCACCCCTGCTTCGCCCATCTGCCTGTTCTCGTATATCTTGATCACAGCTGGCCAGGCAGACCATTTCTACAGGAGGAATTGTCCTGGGTTCTGAAGGCTGAGGCAGTGGACCCTGAATTCGATCCACCAAGAAGTTGCTCATGTGGAGGGTTGGCCAATCCAGAAGCATACCCTTGTTACAGTGGCGCAAGGATCTTTGGGTTTGCCTTTCAATATGCTTTCTACCATCCCGACATTAGCATGGTTGGAATTGGGTGACCCAAATGGGCTCTACAAACTTCATTCTAGGATGCTGCATCCTGCTCCTCGAGTTCAGGGTCCTCTTTTTTTGATCCCAAAACTGCCACTTTTGGTCCTCTCCCATCGAGGGGTCCCTTCCGACGCGAGCGATTCACGACCCAAAGAAAGGAACACTCCAACGGCGTCTCCGCGGCCCGGACGGGCGAGCTGAAGCGAGGACCGCTCTTCTTGGAGTGAGGCCTGTGGAAGGTGCGTTCGAGCGACAAGGGGACACACGAATGAGTACTACAAGTGATTAGAATGGAGTGGGGCATTTTGAAACCTACAGGCGCAAACTCATTGTTGCAAACTATGTAGGAACTTTTATAGGGACTAAGCCCTCCTTTGCCAAGAGGGGCGAAGAAGGATACCCATGACTGAGACTGGCAGAATGCCATGTCCGGATGGAAGCGCTCTGGCCCTGGCGAACGTGGACCGCAAGCCTGCTGTGCCCCATCCTTTGACTCAGCACGAGGGGCCCGTTTTGGCTCACGTTCAATGAGGCGAACACCGAGCGGGTTCTAATGAAAAGGGTTTCAGCTGAAAAGAACAAACTTACATGCAACATTCCAAAACCCATTTAATTTGTTAGAACCCCTTTCAACGAGTCACCCAACTTAAAGACGCAAACATCAAATCAGCCATCGCGGATTTCTGGCGCGGTAGTAGAACCTCGTCTATGCCCACTGAGGTTTTGGGCACAGTAGGGGACCCTTTTCCCCTTGGTTCAAATGGAAAGCGAAAGGAACACAACCATTCTTGGGGTCGCCCATATCGACCCCAAAACCCCAGCCACTCTGTTTGTCGGGAAATGGACTTTCAAGGGACACCCCCTCCAAAGAGAAAGGCGCCGCACTGCAACCAACGGCGTATCCTTTTCGAGGGGTCCCCTCCCACCAGCTAACATGGCTTGGTGCACAGACCCCTGTAGAAAGACGAATTTCCTCTTGGAAATGGCCTTTGTGCACTTCCATGTTTGTTGGTGGGAGGGTACCCTTTTCGGGGTGGCTTTATCGCGGGACAAAGGAAAGCCTTGCGAAGAATCCGAAAGAAAACAAAAACCAACTGGCCCCGCACTCATCTGAGGTTGCAGCCTTGACTCTTCCAGCAGGCTTGGCAGCGAGCCCTTGCGGGGGCTGTGCCTCGTACTGGATATGAGGCCCCCACTCCAGGCAAAACCGCCAAACACATGGAGGACAAAATACACATACATACACATACATACTGTATATATATATATATTATTTCTCTCTCTTTCTCACTCTTCAGACTATTTGAACAAAAACCAACTGGAGATTTCCATCCCTCCTACAAACTACGCCATGGAACAGGAGAAGAAGCAATACGCGGCAACGTCCAAAAAGGTTGGTTTCCTTTTGGTTTCTAACCCAACCAGAAAGGGTACCTTCAAAAAAAACACTCTCATTTGTTTGAGGGTGGCGACTCTACGCTCGCGTTGGTCAAACAGTCGAACTTGAGTGGGGAATGTCGTGGACACTGGGTACACCTGGCGAAACGTGTGTTGACTTTGGGGTAATGGATACTCAGGTACAACCCACGGCTGATCATCAAGGGCTGTCCCATGTTTAAGGGCATCCTTCGCGCTTACTCTTTGCCCAACCCCCCACCCCTCACCCCGAAGAAAACAAAAAAAACAAAACAGGCTTCATCAAGCTGCAGCTACTTCCGAGCAACGCAGACCCCGCCTAAAGCCTTCAACGTGCTCCAACGGCTTCCGGTCAAACTCCAACTTGACAAAAGTGTCGACGTTTCTTGGGCTTATCCCTCAATTGCGAACTGTCACACCCATTTACAAATGCGGGTAGGCTTTCAAAACAGACCCAACAACCCTAAATCCAAACCCTGAACCCTCTTCATCTGTGACCCTCAGTTGGAAACTTGGGTGGTGCTCTGTCTGAAATTTCATTCACTGTCAGTTGGGGGGAGCCACACATGCGGCCCTCCCAAACACTGAACTTGGGTTGCCCAGTGGCAATGTGAAAATGAAACCGGCCTCTTCTTCTACCTGCATGAAGTAAAACTGGCTTCTGAAGACGTAAGAGCCTCTTGGGATGGCAATCCCGTTCGTGTTATTTTTGATGTCCAAAGCCGGAAGCACAAATCAGCACCTTTCTTTGTTTCTCATCAAATGTGCCAGAAAATCCAGCGCTCAGCCTGAGCGACTGAGGGGCAACGCGGCCAGCAGGATCCAAAACGCGGTGGCGCCTATACCAGGATCCATGGTTGTCAACATCCGCTTCGGCCCCTTGCAGACGCGTATTTGCTGTCCTTATAAAGGACGTGAGTCGGCCAAAGAAGGGCCTTGCTTTTGACAACCACCTGACCCAAACGCGCCTAAGGCGGTTGATTGGCGTCCCGGCGTCCAAGATTGTTAATTTTCTTGATGCCCAGGACATGAGCAATGGCCGCTATCATGGCTCATCCTGTGCAACGAAGAGCTAGGTCACCTGCATCATCTTGGCATCGTGTTCCTTTGTGGCTCTTTTATCCCTTGCTAATTTTTTTTAGTGGGACGTGTCATACATAAACCCCTCTAGGCGCCAAAAGTATTGAAGTCTAAAGGTATGGCGTGAGCAGCTGAGGTTCATGTGACGTCCGCATATGGGCATCCGGTCCGACATGTCCATGTCCAGGTTTCTTGGTGTTGTGTTTCGCATGTTTCGCATTCACCGTGTGGTCCTCTATCTTTGAGGAAGCTCCGGACGCTCGGTGCTGCAGATACCCGTCCACCACAAACAAGACGCTGCCCAGCACAAAGCAAACGTTGCCCGCGTGCACGGAGTCCGCCAAATCGGGGATGGCGGAAGCAACGGCAAAGAGGCAACTCCTGGAATGCCAAACTCTCCTGAATATAGTAGTTCTCAACTTTTATCTCGCCTTTAGTTTCGTATTCCGTGCTCACTGTCCATTCATGGGGATCTTAGAATTCACAAAACGTTGGACGCTTTTTGGCCACCAGCGCTCCCGAGCAGGTACAGCACGCTGCCGATGAGGTAGAGGCCCACCATCAGGAGCCACGAGTAAAAGTTGGTGCCGGGCTTGGATGGTCTCGAGTCCAGCAGAGCTTGTGACAGCATTGGCCGGCGCCGGCGAAACGGTCCCCAGAGAGTACTTGCTATGATCTACATATATCTGCATGCTATATGCCGTGATATATACCAGTATATATATATATATATATTGTACATGCCACGACATACTATGATATTGTATGAAGCACTTATGTTGAATTCACCTATGGGTTCGGATTTTGTTCGAGCCATCCATCTCGTCTTGAGCCCAGGCCACGTGAGAGGGATGGTCTCCCGCGTCCGGGTAAGAGTGGAGTCAACTTGTGCCAAAATACGGGTTTGGACCCCCAACATGTTTGGTTTCCCTTTTGGTTTCCCTTCAAATCATCCAAAAAAGAAGGCCCCTCAAACAGAGACACAGCTTTGGCTGGTCAGGAGCTGGCTTCAAACTCGTTGTGACTCATCTTTTGTGGGGTGTATGGGGCAAGGAAGATTGACACCGGGTCCCAGGTTTCTACATCGCATACTTCCGAAACCTAAATCAGCGATCTCTGAGCGGGCAACCTTTACAGGTCCATGGGGAAAATCCGGGATTCACGCGCCCTGCTTGCAATCGAAGCCATGGCAATTCATGGCTCCAGCAATCATAGTCCCAGAATGTCCGTAGTACTGCCAGAAAGTTGACCAAAAGCCATCCACGCGACTAGCTCAAAGGGAGCCACCCTTATCAGGAGGGTTCTATATTATATATGCCAGAAGTGAACTTTCGCCAGGTGAACAGTTAGGCTTGCGCTCCGAGGTTTCAATCGGAGCTTCCTTGGCTAGGGCCTGGCTTCCCAACCGAGCATGAGGCTGAATTCACTCCAACCCCAGCGACCATCCCAGGGGTCGGTCCTATCCGTTTGTGGTCTGTGAGGGAGGGAACCCCAAGTCGGTGATCTCCCGTTGATGTCCCTTTCAAGCAGCCCAAAACGCATCGACGTGAGCCAAAGCTTACAGCGGAAGTCATGGTCTCACATGCCCATCATCCAGCTCAAGTGGTTTTGAGCAGCACGAATTCTGGAGCTCCACAGGGGATTGCCGTGTCGTCATCTGGCCTCTTACCAGCTGTTTTGTGGCTTCCACCCCATGTGAGGTCATTGTGACCCGTGACTCTTTTGACTACTTCCAGCTTTTCAGGATTGGACGCTGTTGTTCCAGGATTTGACCCTAAAATCCCAGGGCGTGACTCAGTTTTGTTTTTACCCGAAGCCTCGACCTTGAGGCGGTTCAGCTCGGATGGCACCTCCCCTGGGGTTCCGGGCAAAGTCTCAGGGCTCTTGGGGCGCAGCCACCAGCCTACTTGGGGCGTGTCTCATGGGAACCCCCAAATGGGCGGCTTCGTCTTGGCTTCTCTTCACCAACCCCAAAGGGCACCCGGAAAAGACACACCCATTTGGCCTTCGTTGGCCTTGAGCCAACCGCAAACGTTTGAGGTCTTTGGTCTGGGTCCCTGGCAAAGGGACCCAGCACGCCGAAATTGTCGTACGGTTCCCTAAGCCCAACAAGTTTGCAGTGGACGTCAACAAAGCGCAAGAACCAACCCCCAGCAACCCCCCACTCCGAAGAACAACCCCAAACAACCCTTCCTGCTCCCAAACAACCCACCCTCCGCCCGAACAACAACCCCGCCTCCACCCAACACCACCTAAAACAACGAGCCGCTCCACCCCTTACCCAAAGGCTGCAACAGTTCGGGCGAGAGGCTGCCGTTGAGGCTGAGGCTCAAGCCATCCGCGCCCTGCGCACGAGGCGAACGGAGCGTATGAGACGTATTGGGTATGTGTCAAAGTAGGGGGGCCAAACAAATTCTATTTGTTGCTTGTGGCTTTCCTTTAACGCAACCTGAAACGGATATCTTGGCCCACTGGGCTACACAGAAACAGTGCTGTCAGATTATGTTTCATGTTCACGCTACCCTAATATAAAAAGTAGTTTTGGAGGAGGCCCCAGTTGTGCTCAGCAACAGAAACAACAACTGGGTGACACATTCTCGGGAGCACGAGCCCTTCATGTTCAGTGCACCAAGCAAAGAGACTCATGGGTGACAGGCTGGAACCAGCCCGGAAGAAAACTGGAGCACAAAACATGGTGCCAGAACCTGATGGGAGAATTATGAGCATCCTTTATTAACCAGGAATAATTATCGCCAGCTCGAAACAAGCCTTCCCTAAAGCACCCCTCTCGCGATTCGCGTTAATTTCACTCGTGTGAAATGGGGCTTAGGAATTGGGGGCTCCCACACACCGAATTGCCATTGGGACAAGGGATAGCCCCCCAGTCAGATATCCTACGGTCAACCCTAAACCCAGGCGCTAAATACTTTCTTTGTGCAGCGTTTTAGCGAAAAATGGAAGATGGTCCCAAGCCTTCACTCAGTACCATTTGAGGATAACACGTGGTCATGGCTCACTTGGTGCATGTCCTATCCCAACCTGCCAAAACAAAGCACAGACGGCGTTCTGCTTGAGCACAAAATCAAGATGGCCTGCCCAGATTGAGGCACTTCCAGAAAAACGTTCAGATACGTGTAAGAGTCTTGGGTGTGAACTCCATCCAAAACTGACGCGCTGGTCCTTAACCATCTCGCTGCAACCTGAACCGGGGCCCTGTTTCACATGTCCAAGAAAGAGGAAAATGGCGGTGCCACTGGGCAATTGGGTGATCAAAGAGAACCCCCCTAGACTTTTTGACATATTGGTGGGTGTCAGAATAGCGGGACCCAACAAATTGTGACAAGACAACGCAACACAACAGCACACAACACAACACAACACAACACAACGCACAACACACGACACACGAGACAACACAGCACAACACACAACACGCAACACCAAACAACAACAACACAGAACAAAACACAACATGCAACACGCAGCATGCAACACTTGTGTTGCGTTGTGTTTTGCTTTGTTTTGTTGTGTGTGTCTCTGTTTTCGGAGGGTTGGACACACGCGACGTGGATCTCTGTGCTGTTGGATCGTTTTGGGAATGGGTGTGTTTCTCAAACCTTAGGTGTTGGCAACACAAAACCAGAAAGCGCAAAGGTCCCTTTGTGTGTGTGGGCTTCTTGAGGGTAGACCCGTTCGTCTGGTTTAAACTGAAGACGGAAGGAACATCACCACACGCAACACGCAACACGCAACAACACCACTGAACACCACACCACACAGCACAGCACAGCACAACACCCGATATAACAACCACGCCGCAACACAACACAACACAACACAACACAACACAACACAACACAACACAACACAACACAACACAACACAACACAACACAACACAACACACACACACACAACACACACATACACACACGCACACACACACGCACACACGCATATGGCTATGAACTTTCATAGGGAACACCCTGAAAAAGGATGCTCAGGCATTCTCCTTGCCAACTCCCGCTCGCCCAAACCCCCCGACCTCCGGCTTCGGCATTGCCGAGCGCGGGTCTTTTGGGCCGTAAGCCGGGCTGACGAACGGGACAGGGGGGTAAGGTGAGAAGACCAGCCATGGACCCCCAATTCAAACCTTACCCCCATGCACACTGATACGGGATTGCCCACATACGCCAGAAGTGCATGTGTGTGTGTGATTGTAAATATATATATATATGTGTAGATATATATATATATATATGGCTATGATTTTTTTAGGGGTCTGTAACGCGCGACGCGCCACGAATCTTGTTACGGAGGTCTGTAACGGAGGTCCTTGTTACGCAGGCCTGTAACGGGACAAACATTGCCTGACAAGCAGTATCAGTAGCACAATGTAGCGCAGCACAACGAGGTACTGTATGTAATGGCTATGTAACGAGGTCTGTAACGAGGCAAAGCAAAGCGCAGGACACAAAGCGCGCCTCCGCAGCTCCAGCTTGATTGCAGCTACTCAACGCAAGCCAAGCTGCGGCAAAAAGCGGGGTTGCTGGGCCGGGTTGGGGGTTGGGTCTGTAACGAGGTCTGTAACGAGGCAAAGCGAAGCGCAGTACGCAAAGAGCGCCTCCGCAGCACCAGCTTGCTTGCAGCTATTCAACGCAAGCCAAGCTGCGGCAAAAAGCGGGGTCGCTGGCCCGGGCTGGAGTTGGGTCTGTAACGAGGTATGTAACGGCTATGTAACGAGGTCTGCAACGAGGCAAAGCAAAGCGCAGCTCTATTCGACGCAAGCCAAGCTGCGGCAAAAAGCGGGTCGCTGGCCCAAACTGGGGTTGGGTCTGTAACGAGGAATGTAACGGCTATGTAACGAGGTCTGTAACGAGGCAAAGCAAAGCACTTGATTGAAGCTATTCAACGCAAGCCAAGCTGCGGCAAAAAGAGGGCAGTCACGTCACTGGCCCGGTTTGTTCATCTGAGGTGTGTAACGAGGGCGTGTATAACGAGGGTGTGTATAACGAGGGTGTGTAACGAGGGTGTGTAACGAGGGGTGTGTAACGAGCCAGCTGGTTTTGTTACAGAGGTCTGTAACGAGGTCTGTAACGAATGTCCGCCACGGCTCTGTTACAGACCCCTCAAAAAATTAACTGCCATATATATATATATAGCATATATATATATAAAGCAGGCACAAAACTCGCACAAGCAAGCAACTAATTACCTTCCTACCTACCTACCTACCTACCTGCCAACCCACCTGCCAACCTATCTACCTACCTACCTACAAGCAAGCAAGCAAACAAGCGAGCAAGCAAACGAGAAAGCAAGCACACATTCACCATCCCTGGCCCTCTATCCAACCTCCGCAATCCAGTCTTTTTCCCCGGCTTTCCCCGGCTGTAGGAGCTCCCCAGACATGGCGCGAATGCCATGTAGCTCCCACAGCAATCTGCCCACATCAACCGCCTGCGCAAGGCCCGTGTTGGATGTTTCCTGTGGTGTCCGATCTTTTAATTGCAACACAAAAAGGGATCTGCCATTTTAAGAAACATCCATGCGTCCAGAGGGCCAAAAGGCTCCAAGTGGGGGGGAGCCAAGGCAGTGAAGCGCAAATTTGTTTTGTCTCGACTAAGAATGAATCTTAAGTTCTGAGCCCGGATGTCTCTCCTTACCCAACATGCCAACAACCTGAGCCTTGTGCGTCACGGAGACTCTGGTTGCACAAGGGAGTTCAGTTTGGACGCAGGTATGCTGGTCGGACCTGTTGCCCGAAGGAACAGTGGGTCCTCATGGCAAATTCGACACACACACACACACACACGTGCGCTCGAGCTGAATTTCCCTCATGCATGCATAGACAACTCAGACCACACTGCCGAGCAAACAACTCTTCATAGGAAACTAGTAGGCACGATTCAAGCTCGATTTACATCTTCAAACAACACCCAGAAACTAGATAAGCTGTCAGTCTTTCCAAAAGCTGACGATTCAACTGAATGGAGAAACAAGCCAACCAGCCAGCCAGCTAAGCAACCAACCAGCCAACCAACCAGCCAACCAACCAACCAGCCAGCCAGGCAACCAACCATCCAACCATCCAACCATCCAACCAACCAACCAACCAACCAACCATGCCTCAGCTCCGCCCGATTCCAAACTCCGCGAATCGCCTGGGTTCCACGGCAGGCCACGTCCGCCACCAGCGGCTTGGCTTGGGGCCCCCAGGACACTGCCACCACCTGACGTTAGTTGGTACCCGGTTTTGGGTCTGTGGCTCAGGGGAACTAATCTAGGGGTACCTTCCATTTCCATTCTTTCCAGGGATCCGAATCTTTCTAGAAAACCTCCGGACACCCCGAGAAAGCGGATCCGGTTTTCGGAACGCACGAGGGTTGAAAAAGATGGGGAATCAACCCCTAGAACTCGAGGGAAACCGCCTATTCGGGGCTTCACTCGGATGCAGACCCTTAAAGTTGACCCCTTACACCCAGTTGCTAATCAAGGGGGTGCGCCTGAAAGAAAGGATTCTCCACAAACAAGGGACCCACCTTCATAGCAAGTGGGGTCCCTCAGAACAACCCAAACTACTATGACCATTTTATCAAGGAGAATTCAGTTGTGTCTCCTATGGGATCCGAACAAAAACCAGCCCCTCAAGGCGAGAGGTTCTGGTGCTTTGATGCACAAATGCCAACGCCACCGATGTTCAGCGAAGCAATGCCACGTGAACTGGTTTAGGGCTCCCGCTCAGGGCTCCCATAGCCTATGGGAAAGCAAAGCCAAAGAAACTACAAGGAACCCAAAAGGAAACCCAAGCAAACAAAAGTCGCAAGCGAACCCAAACAAGAGAAATCGAAAGGGAAGCCCGGAGGAGAAACGCCCAAGCGTTTCTAGAAGAATCGACTATCTGGCCAGGCGACGTCGATATCCGAATGGTCCACCACCTCGCCTCAGCGCGAAGCCAAGGAAAATGAAGAATGTACTAACATACCCAACAAAAACGCTACCACAGAGTCATTTGGAGTTGTTGATGGAACAACGGTCCAATTGTTGCAAAACACCAAAAATCGATGGTAGTCCTTGGATGTCCAACCCAGTTTACATCATCCCAAGAAAAATATGCTCAAAAAACGACTCTGGCTGGAGCATACCTGTTGTCTTTTCTTTGGAGGGTACATTTTGGTGGTTGTTTAAACCGGGTCCTTCAAGGTGACCATTTTGAGGGGTTATCAAAACTTTTGCCTTTCGGGCGGCTTCCTTTTAACCACACATTTTAGAGATAATGTTGAGGATGTGACGTTCAACGGTCCCATCATTTTGCCACCTAGGGTGCGTGCGCGAGTCGTTTCTACCAGTTTTGCAACCAAGGAGCATGTGGACTGTGTCAGGGTGTGCGTATGTGCGTGTTTGTTTTTGTGCGCTTCTTGCTTTACAAGAATACTTGAATAGAACTTCAGACACTCGCCTCGGCATAGGCTAGGTCTGATTTCTAAACACTCTCTACCATATCCCTGCTTCCACCAGGCTTGTATGACCAACCAATCAAATAGGAATTCTTTGTTTCCCACGAAAAATACAATGCAAACAACCAATGGTGCTTGTTTAAACAACACAAAGGCAACAATGGCCGTGTCCGCCAAGTTTGTCGCCACCGACCTAATGTTCCATTAGATCACCAATTTTGGCACATGATCCGGATGCCAGTTTCATGGACAAACAAGAATGTGGGTCGCCTAAAATCAACAAGGCTCTAGAAGGAAAAGTAGATTGTGTCCACCACTTGCTCAAACAACAAAAAACGAACGGGGAAAAAAAAAGAAGAAAACAAAAGGAAAAAACAAAACAGTACACACACACACGTTTCGTTGAAAACAAAACAGGGTTTGCTTCCACTCGTTTCTCCACCAACAAACTGTTCATACAAACCCCATATTTGTTTTTTCCACCCAGTCCCCGCCCCCCCAACTGACAGGGTCCCTATAGTTCATTCTTAAATAACCCACCAAAAGGAAACGCTGTGGAATTATGAGAACCCCCACCCCATTTGAGTGCGTAGCTAGGATTGTTTACAGGGAAGCCAAAAGGTACCGACCGTTGAAGGGCGTCCGCCTATTGGACACAGCCATTTGAGCAGCGACCAGAACCCATTGATTTTTGATTCTACCAACCTGGCTACAATGACTATAGGGGTTTGCTTTAACCCCTGCTAAACCAGGTAGTAAACCGGCTACTAAATTGGCCCTTGAGTCAAGGGGCTGCAGCTCATTTCCCCATGGCGGAGGCCGGGGTCCGGAAAATGCTTGGTTTCCTGCTGGCTGCCCTTCAATACCAACCTAACAGAAGGACTCATGTTGAGGACCAATGGAGTCTCCCTTTGTTGAGTGTGCCAATTTCGGGGGTCCATTTCCCTGCTTTAAGAAAAGCCCACGCACCTGCCAGCCTCAAACTTCCCTTAAAATTGGATATGGCAGATTTTTTTACGGGCTGACCTCCCATTTGCTAGGAAACATGAACATGCCACATGTTCAGTCGGTTGTTCCGGCCAACAAATTTCCAACCATTTGTTGAACCAACCCACCAAATGATAAGCCAACCGCTTGTCAGATCTATGGGTGTTTTCCCAATTGGGTATGAAATTTAATTAGAGACCCTTTGGTGGACAGCATTTAGGTGGGGATTTGTCTCCACCAACCACTTTTGAGGGGGGGGTTCCAACCATTAAAACTCATAGCCATTTGGCTGTGAGTCAAAACCAATGGGATCCCACCATTTTGGTTGGTAGGTGAATTCACCACCCATTTTAGAACCTATTTTCGTGGTTGGATTGAATCGGATGTGTACGATTTGGATTTTCACTAAAACCGATTCTAAAATGGGTGGTGAATTCACCTACCAACCAAAATGAAACGGTTTTGACCCATGGCCATCTGTCAACCCGCCCCACCGATCTCGCCGTCAAAGGACGCACCGTGTCCAGCACCCCGTGCCAGCGCACGGACGAGGCCAACGCCACCGCCAGCGGCCGCATGAGACGCACGTCCCGGGCGCGGCCAAAGGGCGCCAAGCGCTCCGTGGCGACCTACGCGACACGCGACGGCAGAGGTCGAGGTCCACCTTGCTGGGAACCAAAACTCGGTTGCGAAATCTGCTCCCCTGCTAAAAGCTTTTTGCTTTTAGGGGTTTAATACGGAAAACCCATTAGTTGGCAAAAAGAAAAAGTCCTGACATCCAAGCAACATGCGTCAAAGAGGAGGTCCACCTGTCTGGTAAAAAACAAAAAAACTTGAAACTGCGACCAGACACAAACACCTAAAACCCAAAAAGCCAACTAAGCCATAACAGAAGGGAACTGGCCTTGAAGCACAAGGAAAAACAACGTACCTGCTGTAGCAACTGGGATCTGGGGCTTACTTTGGTGGCAGCTGCTAAGCAGAACCAGAGATTTGTCAAATGTTATCGATATCATGGAAACAAACTTGGTGGCACATAGTATACAAGAAAGCCAAAATTGGTTGTAGCTTAACGCAACCAATATTGGCTCCGCAATTCTATTGGTGAGACCTGGCTTTCATTGATTTATTTGACCTGCATGATTGTGGAACCTTTTTTTGAGGCAGCTTTTGTGAAACAGAACTAGGTCTTTCCAAATGAAATGGTGGGACCAATTTGAAAACTCCAAAGAGGTGTCGAGGGTTCCCTGCTACTTGAGTTTAGATAAAGTATGGTTTTCCTAGGTTTTCCTCCTCGTTACGTATTCCATGTATTTCCCTGATGGTTTCCCCACTGTCTGATACACACACACACATACACAAATATATATATATATATATATATACAATACTACCGTCTTCATTGACAAAAGTCGTCAACACCCCCTAACTTAATTAGTCGACACCCCCTACTGAAAGTAGATGTCGCGGATTTCAAACTCGACTCTTGAGAGTCGGTCGGCTGCATCAAGGTTCATTACATCGCGAGTCGGTGTGGTTCGCATGGTGTTCGTTGACTAAAGTGGTACACTCCCGCCATCACCAGTGCTTTGTTGAAAATGAAGCTAGTCGAACAGTTCAAACTCGACTTTTGCGAGTCGCTTGGTAGCATCACAATTCTTTACATAGCGAATTACCGACCTGAGGTCGGCGTATATACAGATAGATGTAAATAGATACCACAAGGAGACTACTGCACCTAGACCCTCAAGCTTCGCTTCATACGGCCTTGCACGGAGTTCCCCCAGCCTGGCGCATCATCCTCCAGGAGAGCTGAGCAACACGCACCTGACGGATGAATGGCCATAGGGAAGCAAGGGCGTGTTGTTTGTGGTTGCAAAAAAAAGGGAAACATGGCGCCGCTGGAGGTTTTCCTCTTGAGGGCGCCTTTATTTATTGGAAGTTCCTGCGAGACAGGGTTTGTGTCAACATGAATGACATGAAAAGGCAACAGATGACAGAGCGTCCTGAAACGGCCCCATTTTTGGTCTTGGCCAAGAAACAAGACACCCTTGTGCCAGTTGTCAATGGTTAATGTTGACCCCGATTTTCGCCAACCTGGTGGATCAAGGGTGGCACTTCCCCAAAAGTAACCCCGCTCCCCTCTTCAATGAGACACCCCCGATCAAAATCCACCAGCGCTGAAGGAAAACCTGGTCCAAATCACCTTAGTGCTGACCGTGTTCCCCGAACAAAGTTAGTGCTTGGACCATGGCACATATGATACATATAATGTGTCAATCGTTGCGCCCCCTCGTCCAGGCCAAGGGCCCAAGCTGGACAAGAGGAGCGAAACCATTCGATTGTTTTTTGCCGCCCAATAGGTTTCCATCTCAAACGCTCCGAAATCCCAGGTAGAACAAGTGCTCTTGAACAGCAACAAAACGTCTCTTCTTGCGCGGGTGCCCCTGCTTCTAAGATTCCAACGTGGAAGACGGCGCCCTATTGACAAACCTTTTTTGGAACCCAGTCCAATTTCCTGAGCTTTCATCTTATGGCACTCTGACAATCCTCTCGAACTCTGAGCCATGGACGGGGAAGTCGTACTCCGAAACCGCTGCGGCGAACATGACCTCAAAGCCCAGGCCAGCGCCGCTTTGCGACACCTTTTGTGGCGGTCCAAAAAGGGAGTCTATGATTTTGACAACCTGTAAAACTGCCTGGTGCTACTTTGAGCCTTTGAGCCCTGCTATCTCCGTTGCGTGGCCGACATGTTTCATACCTCACAATCAACCAAAGGTAGGTGGGCGCTGCTCTGAGCAAGAGTAACTGTGACTAAAGATGGGCCAAACCAGAAGCGAGCAAGCAACAAGTTTGAAAACTGATCAATCGACAGTGCTCCAAAAGCTAAACAAAAGTGAACTAGGCAGCACAGCCTCCGTCCCCCGAGAAACATGCCCTGCGAGGCACTTACATGGTGAAATCGAGGTAAGGCAACAATAAACAAGACAATATTCAACAATCATATTAATAAGAATGACAAAAGCATTTAATTGGTTTCTTCATTTGGAACCGTTGGAATCGATGGATGGAGAAACGAGGATATCTAGATGAACATAAATAATAAATCTTCAAGGGTCTTGCGCCTGAAAACCAAGGCGTGCAAATTGGTTTCATCAAAATGCAAACAATGAAATGTACCTAAAGTACCGCACAAAAAGAATCAAAGCGGAAATGGACCATCTGTACGTGGCTGGCTAGTCCATGCCTTGGAGAGGCTTGTAAAACTAGGTAAGTAACAAGGGCTCGCCCCCCAAAAAATGCAAAGTCCTCTGAAAACGAGGGCTCCACGTTCATCCGTGAGCGTGTAAGTCATATTTTGCCAACAGGGGCAGAAACCCAAAAAGGGAAAAGGTCCACACCCAGGTCAAACAAGGTGATGCAAAAAAAAGAAGTTGCGGAGAGAAGCTCAGCACACGCAGTGAAGAGCTTTTTGTTGTCTGGGGCAGGTGTTTTGTTCTTTGCGTCCGAGTGTCCCCGGTGGCCTGGCCAGCGGTGGCCGCCTGGGCGAAGGGGTGGCCCACCAGCAGCACGGACCTTGGAGCGCCGGGACGGGGTTTGGTGGGATATGCAACTTTCTGGAAGACTGGGGAAGGCTCGACAAGGGGATAAAATATACCCACTATGTGTTATGGTTTCCACTGCCCTCAAACCACTAATCACCAAAGTTGCGTCTAAACGTCCTTTGACAAGGAATCCGTGATCGTTGCAACCAAGACTAAACAGAAGGACTGGAACAGAAGACCAACGTGCAGCTATCCATGCCCTTGTATCAAGCTTCATGTTCAGCAGGCATCTGGCGCCGACATGAGGCTGCTGGGGGATGTTTGTCGGTGAAAGGGAAACCACCAGGGAAACCCAGGAATGTCTTGCCGAGCGGCTTGTTGGCGAAGACCTGCGATGGAAGCTGCCCAAAGGAAACTCACTTCAAGTTGGCCAAGGTGATGATCGAAAGGGAAAGTTTAGCCCCAACCCCTGGTGGGTAATCGGGACTTTTGGCCGAAGCTTGTAAATGTTTCCAAGGTAAGAACCCATTCCCAGCAGTCCTGAACTGAGTTCAAACCAAACCCTAACCTATGTATCTGCAAATGTCGAGACATCAAAAATCCCCAAGCAAAGGACCTGCATCATGGTGAGCTCGTGTTTGCAGAGCTATGCAGGTTATTTGCTTATCCTTAACTTAGGCAGGCCCAGGGGAGCAGGAATGGGCCAAGCATCCCCCAGGTACCTTTGTCAGCTTCTCACGCATAGCGTATGTTTGTAGACCTAGACCTTTCGGGGGCACGGGTGTTCTTGTCTTTCCGGATTGAGCAAACACAAAGCTCATTTCAACTAAACGCGCATTTCGTGACAAACAAAGGGTCAATGGGAAGATGGTTCTGGTGTCTGCGTCTGCCACCGCCCATTTCCACGCATTGCCTGCTGACTTCCGCGAATTTTCCACCAGGTTGCGCTCATTTTGCGGGACAACGCCGCCCAACAAACATGTTTCCGCTCATTCGACATCCGAAACGAGCAAAAACTGCTCGACCTAGTGGAAGGTCCAGGTATGTGTGAATATGTATACTATTATATATATATATATATATGTATATATGTATACATGACATACGCACATACGAAATACATGTATAATCCCGACTCCTCGCAGATGAATGGTGACAAACTGAACACATGTGTTGAAATGATTTTCATGCGACAACGTTTTGCAAACAGTCAGAGAATCTGCTCCCCCGCCTAACGCCCTACTATTCCTCAACGTCCATCAAGCTTTCGTCATTGGATTTGCAAGGGACTATACCAACCTCGCCATAAAATAGACAGAATGATGCTGCAGATTCTTTTAGTTGTCAAAGGAAACCCCAATCGGGGCCAAGAGCGCCTAACAGTGAAGGGTCAATTGGGGACCGTTGTGGGCCTCTTGGGAGATTGTAATGGGAAGCGCTTAACAACCATAGGGGAGGGATGGTGCAAGTTCAACCCTCCCCTGAAAAAACCACAAGGAGGTTGTGTAAAGAATAGGTGTTGGGACATATTTGCCCCACTATTGTCAAAGTCACGCCCGCGATAGGTGTTAGGGGAAACACCCCAGCTGACGTTGATAAACCCTCTTTTCGAGCTCAGCGCGCACTCAGATCGCCTCCTCCCAGCCCTGCACAAAGCGCTGCATGGCGCGCACGTCGCGGTTGGCTTGGCCCGGCCGGTAGTTCACCTCGACTTGTCCAGCGCCGGGTTTGGCCCATGACTTTACCATGCCGGAATGGTTCAGAGGTAATTTGGATGTCCAGCAAAGGGTGCCCAGAAGTCACCCTTATCGCAAGTGGTAGGGGAAAAACTACAGTTTCTGGCAACCTGAACCCGTTCGTTTCTGGGCCACTATATCGTCACTATACACAGGGTATACATCCAGATTTGCTCTGAAACTGGCTGTTTGGGGGGTAGTGGAAACCTTCTCTCTGGAACAATGCTTGGAAAATGCATTGGATTTTCCAAACCATGTGGAACTGCCACCCTTACCTAAGCTTTTGCCCTGGAAAGCAGGATCTGCTGCAGAATCTGGCCCATGTTTGGTGAAGCTTCCAATGGAACATGACGCCAACAAAGGCTTCTGTTGACGGGAAACAGCAAGAACCACGTCTCTAAGGGGCGTTCTGAAGGGGATGGAGTACAAACACAAAGGTATCTCAGGGTCTGCTGTGGGTGTCACTTGGGATCCAAGCAGATCCCATTCGACAGGTTCGGATCTATTCCTGCGAGGCAGCCCAAACTCATCTCAGAGACGTCTGAAGCCAATGTATGGGCCTCAAAACGGGGCATGTGCGAACCCGAGCCAAACCAAGCTGGGCTTTGGATAATCGGGTGTGTATTTGAAGAGGGGGACCGCAAAGTGGGGGGGTTGTCTTTTAAAGTTTTCGCGTTAAAGCAACAGGGCAATTCGACCGCACATGTGGTATCCCTACGCAAGAAACTGTCATCATGGATGAAAGCCGCAAACAACAACACAGTCACTCCCAGCTGCTCACACACACCCATGGGAGCAAACCCGCCCCTGCAGCCCCTTTCCCCACCTCTCGCCGCTCCTATGAATGAGCTAAAGCAAGAGGCAAGGCGAGGCATTGCCGCATGGCGAAGCTAATGAGTAACAGCGAGGGGCCATTCAGGACTAAAGGTCTTCCCATGGCTCTGGTTCTGCAATGTTGGAACCTCTCACCCCTCCTCTTCGACCTTCGGCAAGGCGCCCACATGTTGCCATAGCGGCCCGGGGGGAAGTACCGGAACGGCACCTGGTTGGGCAAGGCTTGGCCCTTGAAACATGTGTTGCGGATGGGTCACAAGGATTTGGCCCCGGACTTTCCCCACAAACCAGCCTGAAAAGGCAACCCTCTAAAAGAGCACAAACCCAGAAGGGTGCCCAGTCGTCTACAACCCTTGTTCAAACAATCTGGGTATGGGTCAATTAAACCACCAGGAGACCGCAGGTTTTGGTCCATGCTTCCACTTACTAGGGTTCCAGTTGGGGACCTATGTTTGACCCACAGCCATCTCCTGTCTTGGTTTTCCTTCGTCGCTCCAAAAAAGCGCAGCTCGCCTGCCGGAAGAAGGGCCGGTCCCGCCACCAGTTGAAGTTCAGCCGGTCCGGGAAGCTCTCCTCGGACCCTGCGCAACCGAATTTCTGGCGGCACTCCAAGAATCATGGCAGTGGACCAGGGGCCCTCCAAGAGGCGGGTCTGTAGTCATTGAAAACCCTTCTCTCAGCTTCCATGATTGTTGGAAGCCCAAAGAGCCCTTCCAAACATCATGGTTGTTGAGCAAAGGGTTTTGAAAGACTACAGCCCATGATTATTGGAAAGGACCCCAAAAGCCCTATTTTTTTAAAATCATGAGAGACGGGTTTTGACAGACTGCCGCCCTCTCCTGTCCACTGGCCGCTCGTGACCCCACATTCCTAATTCCTATTCGCTAAGTTCATTTGGATAGAGCCCCTCCCAAGCACCACCCCCAAAGCCATCCATCTGTGCCATTTTGTTAGACGTCACAAATCCGAACTAAAAACAAGGAACCTTCATCAGGGTCGTGTTACCACCAGGTGAGCTCCAGACACATGACTCACCATATTCACCTACTCAACAATGCCCAATGTGTGTGTACATACAGAAACCATAGACATATATATATATATACAAATATATAATATATACAAATATATAATATATATATATATGTTTGCAATAATGTTGCATCATGCTAGCTCAGATTGCAGCTGGTTGCCGCTTTGCACACACACACACACACACACACACATACATGAGCTTGACGAGCACATGTGTTCCACCGCGGATCGCTAGGAAACCTCACTTCCTAGACATCTTCCAGTCCCGTAAATTCACCTGGGCACCAGAAAAAAAAGAAGAAAAAAAAACTCCTTTTTCCCAATAAAATTCTTAATACACATGGCCATGGGTCCAAATTCCGTACCCCCAGTGAACATCCCAATCCCCACTAAAAGACTAAAATAGGTGGTGCACCTACCCCAAAATGGTACCACTGGTTTTGACTCGCAGCCATATCTCAGGCATGTGCACCGTGCCTAGTACGTCCACCATGGCCGGCTTGAAGCCGGGGCAACCGGTCGTGCCCAGCCGCGCCACGTAGATGAGGGACTCCTGGGTAGACATCTTGCCTTCTACCGAACAGAGAGACCGACCAAACTTCACAGCAGTTGGAGTCATCACACTTTTGTGGATGGCCTGCCAACATGGTTTTCCAAAAACTACAAAGTCCAGGAGCTAAGAAAGTGAGTCATTGCGGCTCCTTTGCTCCCCTCTTTTGGGGATTCTCATCATCCCTGGCCCCTCGACTCCTGCACAAGGGTAAAAGTTCGACTTCTGGCACTGTAAAGGGAACGCAAAGGAACCCTTTGTCTGGCCTTGGTGCTTTGGTCGGAGCAACCCTGTTTTGGGTCAGTGTAAAGGGACGCCAAAAGGAACCCAGCCATCCACCATGTCGACACAAACCTCATGTTGAACTTCATTGACCTGATTCCGCTCGTCTCAGGCCTCTGGGTTGGTTGGAAAATATGAGCAGCGTTTCCTTTTTGGTTCGGGGCTTGCTTATACACTCGGAGACTACGCTGGGGTCGCGGGGCCATAATTGGTGGAAGGGTTGCCTTCACGAGGTTCGAGAGAAGACAGTGGTTTAGCTGGCCAATGCGAAGTGGCTTCGCCTATGTCAAAACGCGGGGGGCTTCGCGAGAGGCTTCGCGAGCCTTCGCGGACCTTTGGGGAGTTCCGCCTGAAACTAAAACAACAACGCTGCTCGTACGGGCGGGTCTTAAATTACGGCACTCCGGCGGGCTTCGTACGGGCTTCGTACGGGTCTTAAATTACGCTGCTCGTACGGGCTTCGTTCTAGTCAACTTCCATTTAAGCAATGTTGACTACTTTCGTTTAAACAGTGTCCTTTTGGCTTCCCTATTCAAGAAATTGGCCCAAGGTCTGGTGGTTTTAATTGTTTGTTCAGGCCGTGTTCCCAGTTCTTCCACCACAAGCCACTAGGTAACCAAGGAAATCCACAGTTTGAAAACTAAGGCAGGGTTGCAAATCCCTGGTTCCGTGCTATTGTGGTACCTGGGATCTCCACTAGGTCTTTGTCTTGTAATGGAGTGCCATGCGTGTCATGCTTCCCCTCCGCATACTGAGCAGCCTCCAAAAGGGTTTCCACTAGTTTCCACAACCCGGACAAATGAAGGGTAACGGAAAATCCACGGTTGAATCCAATTTGGCTACACATTTTATGAGTTGGATCTCCACCAAAATGTGGATGTCCACAAAGGGGTCCGGGTCGGATCCTGCAGGAAGCGATTGCGCTGCACCGGCGTCACGTGGGCGCGATCCAGGGACCAGAACTCCCCATCCCCGAAGCGGGCCATAGAGCCGCCCGCCTGTGAGGGACATTGGACGCTCAGAACTGCCTCGCAACTGGGCCAAAAGAGAGGCTGTTAGTGGTTGCCGGGACAACCACACAAATGTCTGGATTCATCCAAAGGAGTGCCAAAACAACGCTCCATGTAAAATGAGCAAAACATGTGTAGAACCAAGAGCATCCAAACTACTGCTTTCGCATGCAAAAATGGGAGGCGAAAAAGGGCCTGGGGGTGGGAGGGGAGCTCTCCAGGGGGTGGCTCATGCTTTGCCTTCTAGGGCCCCTACGCTGATGAGCGTTTCCTAAAATAGCAGACCCCTATATGGGTGTGGGTCAAAATTTAACCACCAGGGGACCGCAGATTTGAGTCCTTGGTTCCATTTACCAGGCTTCTATTTTGAGTAGCCATTTTTGACCCACAGTCATATACAGTTTGTGAGTTTACCTGTCCCTCCCTTGCACCAAGCAAAAGGGTGGTTCCCGGTTTTGGGATGCAACGAAAAAACCTAAAAACATAAGACGCAAAGAAGCTGGCCCCTTGCTGCTAACTGCTCTGGGGGGAAACCCATCGGTCTTCGCAGCCATCTTGCCTGAATGAGTATCGCTCCGTTGTTTCTCACTCGAAACAAACTTAATTCGCCTCCTCCCCCCCGCGCCGACCGACAATCAACCCAAAACCAGACCTTAGACAGTAGGCAGACCCCCCACGTCAATCCTAAATTGGATTCGCGACCGAGCCCAAACACCCCCCTGCACCCGAAAAAAAAAAAAAGAGCGAACATCAATCCCAGCCCAGCCCAGCCGCGCCTTGAGAAAGCTCAGCGTCTCCGTGGTCGTCAGCACTTGCATGGCCTTTGGCGCTTTGGCAGTTTTCGGCCGCAGGAACCGGTCCAGCACCAGCTGCAGCAAGGGAAGCCACCTGCAGTGAGGAACGGACCGATCGCTGGGAGCAAAGGTGGGGGGAGTCACTTTGCCAGTCGTTGCCGTTCTTGCCAGTTGACGTTGCACCTGTGTGCTGTTGCTCCGGCTGTTCTTATCCTTGCTGTTCTCAGCTTTTACACCCCAAACACAAACCCAAACACACAAAACAACCAATGGAAGACCACTCACCCACGAGAAAACTGGGGCCGCGAAAGGCCCGCCTCTTGGCCGCTGGGTCCTTCCAAAGGTTCCAAACCTCAGTCGATGTAGACGGGCAAATCACGGCTACAAAAAATTGCTGTCAGAGTTGTTTTGTCTGCGTTGTCACGAGGGACAAAACCGGAGAAGGAGAAAGAGAAAGAGAGAGGGCGACAGAGAGAGGCAAACGCTCCGTGGCCATGGGGGAAAATAGAAACCCTCCTTTTGATAATTCGTTGTTTCTAAGTGGATCGCCCCCTCCAAAACAGGCAGGCAAACGGGCACCGGTGGAGGTCTGGGATGAAAGCCACCCTGCCATCAGAGCGCCCTGAAACTCAGGGTGTCAACATTTGCTCCTCCCCGCCCCGTACCCCCAGTGAACATCCCAATCCCCACTAAAAAGACTAAAATGGGTGGTGCACCTACCCCAAAATGGTACCGTTGGTTTTGACCCACAGCCACGTGCTAAGGTGCCGATGCAGAATGAAGACAGTCGCATCAACTTTCTACCGAGGACCAGAAAAACATGCCCGCCACTGCGAGAAAAAAGGCGGCCTTTCACCATCTTCAATAGGTATGGGCCATGGGTCTGTCTTATCTTTGGGTACCCTTTTTTGGGTGATTCTAAAGGGACACGAAAAGGAAACCCATTCTGGGGGTTCTCCTATTTAGAGACAAACCAGTATGCCCCTTCCTTGGTTGTTTTTCGCCACCCTGCCATAGATTAGCCCTCGCGGGTGATTCTACCTCCTGCTCCAAATACCTTTCTTTGTGGGCATGATGTCAACCCCTCACTAAAGGAGGTATTTACCATGGACAACCAAGTTTTTCAGAGTATACGAAAGTGGGATATTGTGAGGTAAAGCAGCGCCTTTTGATATCTGGACCCCTTCCGGAAATTCAAACTTGGCGACCAACTGGTGCCCAAGAAAGCTGGAGCAGCGGTAAGACAGGAACTGGTCC